CCTGGTGAGAGCCTGGAGGATGTCTCTAAGTCCCCTGCTCATCTCCGCTGTTGCTGTTCCTCCTTTCAGTGACCCCCCAGCCAGTCACCAGCTCCGCTAGAAACTGGAGATGAAGAGGAAAAACCACCTCAGCTTCTAAGACAGACTCATCTCAGGCCAGTGGACTGATTTTCTCAAGTTCCATAAGGACCCAACTGGTACCCGCCCCAGAACCTTGTTTTAGACCCTATTCACTCTCAGGGTACCTTCTTGCCTGCTTCAATGGCCCCAGCTAGCCAGGAGGGAAGTAGAGAACGAGGTCAGTGTCTCCAGATTCTTGCTTCCACTGGACCCTTCTTTCAACTTTCCTGCGGTTCTCTCTTCTGTCACCTACCCTATTCTAGATTCATGTTTTCCAGCAGGGTTGGGAGAGCATGGAAGGGCTGTCTGAGGTGAGGGCAGAGTGGTCAGAGGAGCCCTTGCTGTGAATGAAGTCTGCTTACCTTAAGTCAGGAATAGCTCAGGAATGGTTACCCCATGGCTGAGCCTTACTTGTCCAACTTTCCCCAGGAGGGTTCCTGGGTTCCTAGCCCTAGAGGCCTAGATCCAGCATAAGGTTGGGGGTTGGGGGTGTCTGGAAGGCAAATAACCCTGCATGCTCAGCAGCTTCTATGGAAAAGCAACTGAGATCCAAAGCTTTAGCCAAAGTGACCTCAGCACATTTAATCTCTTCAATTGGATTCAATTTCCAACCACTTGATTTAATTAACCCAGCAGTAATTGTGATAAGAATTCAGGCATGAGAGGGGAACAAACAGCAGAAAGGAAGTGTGTCTTTGAGAGCAATTCCCTGCTCCTCCTGGCTCTCTGGGAGCCTCCAGAGACCTGGCACAGAGGCTGGGGTATGGACAGAGCATAAGTAGCTCCTTTTAGAGCTAATTTCTAGTAAAGGATGTGACTCTTACTTAGGTCTTAGAATAGGTATATATGAAGAAATGCTGGACAAGGAGTCTTCTTTCTTGCTTACTGGCCCACAGCAAAGGCTGGTAGGAATCCAAAAGTGGTCCAAATTGGCTGGCTGGCCTTCTCAATACCACTGTGAGAGAGAAGGGAACTGTCTTCTCTCCCCTTCCACTCAGAGGATATGGGAAGTTGTCTCTGAATGGAACTAGCCTCCACTAAGGCCAGGAGACTTAGAGGAGCATCTGCAAGGACAGGCAGGGGTTCCCCAGTGCTGCCCTGTGGTTACTTAGCATGGCCTTTCCCAATGGATGGCGGGGCAGAACTATGCAAATGTCAGGTGCTCATGTCCCACACTCAGGGGAATGGATAGCTTGCTAATACCCTAAATCAAGTACATGGCACCCTTGTGGGGATAGTTGTTATTAAGTGCCATTGAATTGTTTTCACTCATATCGACCCTGAAGCTGTAAATCTTTGTGGGAACAGAAAGCCTCATCTTTCTCCCACAGAGCGACCAGTGGGTTTGAACCACCAACCTTGTGGTTCACAGTCCAGTGCTTATCCTACCCTGCAAATAAGGTGTATGGAACCTACCATGAAGATTGGTCAGCTCTGCCATCCTGCTAGTCTTCAAATGAGTCATCCCAAAGGCAGAAAGGAGGGGGGCTCACTACCACCATAAAATAAGACTTAGCCAGATGGCACCAGCACCTGGGAGATTAACTCCTGTCTTTGAGAAATTAGTTCTGGGCAACAGAGATTAAGAAAGAAAAGAAAAAAGACACTAAAAAGATTGTCCCATACAAATCAATTTTTAATAACTTCAACTTGCCACCAGCTCTAGCTTCCGCGGTTTATCACTGGAAAACCTTAGTTGCCCCAGGCTGGGCTATCCATCTTGTGATCAGAGATGGTCCAGTCCCTGATCTCTGAAAGGTCTCCCCAATACACAGCAGCATGTTGGCGGCTTCTCCGGACCAAGTGCAGATCTGTTCAATGTTGGAGCCACAATTCTGGTTCCCAGGGTAAGTAAGTATCCCAAAGTGATTTAAACTCCCTGGCTGTGGGGGAAGTGGGGGAGTCCCCCAGACCAGAGTCCTCCTGTGCTGCTTTATGAAGTATTTTAGAAAAAGAGGTTCTCGGAGCAGCAGCTTCTTCTGAGGCAGCTATCCCATGGAGACCATCCAAATCATCACAAGCCAGCTTCCCAAAGGTCAGATTTGCCAGGGCCCTGCCCAGAACCCAGGAAGGTAGAATGGAGAAGGTCCTACCTGTGATGCTCATCTGGCCTCTCTCAGATGGAGGGTACCCTGCCCTAGCTGGCTTTCACCCTCCCAGACCACAGCAGAAACAATTCCTCCCTGGGGAGGAAATTCTTCAGGCAGGCTGGATGTAAACAACAGCCTGGTGAGGGGGTGGAACACGTGGAGGGGAGCTCAGGAGAGGCAGGAGAAACTCCCAGAGAAGGGGATGGCTGGGGAGGTGGGAAGCTGCTGGAAAGGAAACTAGCAAAGCAGGCACCTGAGGGCTCCAGAAAACCTGTCAATATTTATTTCACACCCCCCCCCAAAGACAGTTTAAAACAGATTAAAAATGAAAGCTAACGTTGTGACCTTATTGTGCTGATGAGTGGGTTGGAAGGGGGAAAGCTTCTGGTGACCAAAACCCAAAATCTAGAAAGTGGTCCCCAGAGACAGCAGAGTATTCGGCAGATTCTAATCTCCAGTTTCCCAGAGAAATCAGCTCAGAATTTAGAAAACAGAAAAAAGGCACCAGTCCTACCCTACCTGAGCAGTGGTCCCAATGATTGAACAGAATGACAGTGGGGGTAGCAGACACAGATTTCAAGCCCATCTCAGCCACAGGTTCAAAGAGAGCCAGCGGATGTGGCTCTGCCTTCCTCTAAGAGCTGTTTTCAGAAAGCCTGGGATGGCCACTGACTCTCATGGTGCTGGTCTCACTGGGTTTGCCCCCCCAGCTCCTGATAATTAGTGAGTGGCCATCACTTATAATGCCAATTGTTGAATGCGCAAGTGTGTCCAGGTGCACACCCTAGAAATCTTCACATTCTTGGAGGCCTCTCTGTGCCTACCCACCCCTCCCCAAATGAGATTATTCTTGGCTTGTCCCTCCTGGCCTCTGCTATCCAAGTTCCACTCAAAGTGTGGCCTTTATGGGGAGAATTCAGTATCTGTGCTTTGCTCTAATCTTGGGGGTAGCCTTCTCTCCCCTCACTCCTCTTCCAGCCCAGGAGCCTCTTGGGTAAGGGCACAGTCAGTGGCTGGTCAGGTGGACGTGGTCTCAGGAGATGGTGGAGAACTCCTTGAGCAGGGCCTCCTGGCTGAGTGTGTGGAAGGCCAAGTTTCTCCGGACATTGGTGCTAATGGATCGAACCTGGGAAAGGGTGGGAAGGTGGAAGAGAACAGGCGTCAGTTACAAACAGTAGAGGGCAGTGCCTAAGACATAAGGCCGAAATGCAAAGCCAGAAGTTTCTCCCTGCAGGCAAATAAGCCAACTCCACACCAGCAGGAAAGAAAGAGGAGGGGCTGAGATGTGAAGACATTCTAGTGGCTGCGAGAAAAGCAGCTGAGCTCAGAAGAAGGCGAAAGTAGACACAGATGAGAAAGTCAGGTCTTCGTCCTTCACAAGGGAGGATTGTCTATCTAGTTAGGGGTCTGCACCCACCCACTAAGGAGCTCTGGTAGTGTAGTGGTTATGAATTGGGCTGCTAACCTCAAGGTCGGCAGTTCAAAACTATCAGCTGTTCGGCAGGAGAAAGATGAGGCTTTCTGCACCTGTAAAGATTTACAGCCTCAGAAACCCTGTACAGGGTCACTATGAGTCGGAACCATACTTAACAACAACCATCCACCCACTGGTACTGAGTTCATTCCGACTCAAAGCGACTCTAGGAAGGGCTTCTGAGGCTGTAAATATTTACGGGATCGGAAAGTCTCTTTTTCCCACCTTGTAGTTAATAGCCCAACGTATAATCCACCACACCACCAGGGCTCCTTATAGGGGACTGTGGAGGAGGAAAAACTGAGGCAAAAGCCATTTCCTCTTATCCCAGAAGATACATGCTCTGAGTCCACCTCTCTTCAGATGTGTTTCTAGCCTCCTCACTTTCCCTTTGGTCTATGTCATTTTTTTCTGGTTGGAAGCTTTTAGAGATGCAGCCCAAGGAGGCCAATGAGTTGGATAAGGTCCTAGAGGTGATGAGTCCTAGGCTTGAGAGCAGGACCCTGGTTTCCTAACTCCTAGTCCAGCACACTTTCCACACCACAAAGATGCCTCCTCTGTGAGTTAAGTCTAGGATCTCTCCTGGCTATGTCCTCACTGCTCACCGCACTCTCTACCCAGACTGATAGTCCTGCAGGAAGTATGGCCTATGTCAGCTGAGGCAAGACCCACGGGAGAGTGGCCAGAGGGCCAAACTCTCTATTCCATGGTAATAGGTGTGTGTTGTGTGACAAAGCCTGAGAGAGGGGAGAAGGAAAGAATGCCTCATAGTCTAGTACGCTTTTCTTCAGTTTCTGCTTTGTTTTGGTAGGCTTAATGAAGCCACCAGGGAAAGAAGAATCGCAAACAGCTAGCACCTGAGCTCACTAGCTCCAGAGTGGATCAGACCCTCTTTGCTTCCCCTGGGTCAGCGGTACAGTATGGGCAAGCCAAGTGAGGCAGAACTGAGTAAGAGCCTCAAGAAATAGCACCTCTAACTCTCTTGCCCTCTTCACCTCTCAGTAACATTTTAATTCTTGGCTCCAAGTAATTCCACCACATTAACTTACAGACTTGTCAACCACTCCATAAAAATACTCTATCCTGCGATCGCCTCACTTGAATGGCTTCTTTTATTCTCCACTAACTAAGCCCACAGCATGCGTTCCGCAGCCTTCAAGCAAGCCAAAATCCAAAATCCTAGGAATGTCATGTTAGGGTCAGAGTGGGCTGTGTTTAGCTCAAGACAGAAACCATCTAAAATTGAGCACCTCCACCAAGGACCCGTAAAGTAAAAGGTGGGCTGATGCAAGCTCTGCCCAGCAGAGGGAGGTTGAAGACAGGGGAAGCAGAGACTGTGTGCCCTGGTCTGAGTCCTCAGCCAGGATGCTGTGTACAACCCGAGAGGCTATTCCTGAGAGCAGCTCTGAGCGCAGGGCAGAAAAGGGACAGTCACCAGGCAAGCCCAGTTCTGGAGAGATGCTAACTGGAGGTGGAGTAGGAGGAAGAACAAATGATCACTGGCTCCAGATGGCCAAAGCTGGGGACTATGGGAAGCTGAATGATTGGAAAAGTGAGAGCAGGAGTAGGGGGCAAAAAGAAAGACTGGAGAACTCAACTGGGAGGGCACCCAAGACTAGGAACCAGTTAGGAATTTATAAAGAAGTGATTGCATGAGGAGGAGAAGATACAGAGTAACAAGCCAGAGCTGCCACTGGGACCACATGTCAAACCTCAGGCCCAGTTGGAACTCCATGGCTGCAGAGGAGAGGTGGGCAGTACTCCCTTCCCAGCCTGGCACCAATACCCTAGGGAATAGGCTCTTCTCTACCACCAGTCCTGGACTAATTGGGAGAGGAAGTTGTGCACTTCACCAGCAGAGCCCTCAATCTTGTTTTATCAGCTTTTGGAAAACTGCAGTCATTCCCTAGATACCTACCTGTGCAGTAGAACTGACAACTGGGAAAAGGTCTCTGAGACACAGGCCGAGATGGGGAAAGGACAGACTCACCAGCTCTTTGAAGAAGGCAGCCTCCTTGTGCTGCTCCGAGTAGCGCTCATATTGGTCCAGGCCATCCTGAAGCTTCAGTGTGAGTGTGTCATAATTGGCTCGCACTACCTCCAGCACCTGGGGGAGGTCAAGGACCAGGCAGGGCTTAGGCTACGTATAGCCCAGGCCTTTTAGCCCCCATGCCCATCCTAGGTCACATTCAGTCTAAGGTGATTTCCCCTTAAACCTTGCTCACTACTTTGTTGTTGTGTGCTGTTGTGTCTATCCTGCTTTATAGCAACCCAATATAGCCCTAATCTGCAGAAGGCTGAGTCAGTTTAAACTGCCAACGTTTTGGTTAGCAGCCAAGCTCTTAACCACTGTGCCACCAAAGCTCCTTATTCACTACTTACACCTAGAAAAAAACCTGGCCATGGGAGCAGCTCCTCAGGTTTCTAGGAATACCTCCCAATCTCCCACAGTCCTTACATTTCCTGACCATCAGGCAGGAAAGAAAAGCCTGAGGAGGGGACAGAGCAGTGAGTGAGCTCACCAGTATTCCTGATACACAATGTCTTCTCAGCCCTGTCCTGAAGCTCTCTGGTCAGGTTGTCACCATCACTGACTAAGACGTCACCAATGCCTGTGCTTCCTTCTCCCTTTCTGGAAAACCACATCTCTTCAGTCCTGGGATGTTCTTTGGCACCATCTGCCACTTATCTTTATCTCTCAATGCCAAGTCAGTCTTCCTAACCTTGTCTAAATGGAACTTTTGGGCATCCCAGGCTTGACACTTTCTAGATTAAGCTAGTGTTAACCTCTTCCTGTTTTGTTCTGATGAGGGGTCTCTCCCCAACAATACCTCCCTCTGACTTTCTGTGTGTAGAGGATTCACACCTCCACTAACTTCAGAAACCTTGGATCTCTGAAGTTCCAGAAGGGGATACCATGGCCAGGCCTGATGTGACTTTGACATGCACAACCATGAATAAAAGGCCAGGGGAAGAGGTACTACATCGTGTTAGAAGTAAGCTGGGCAGAAAGGAGACCAGGAGACGGATTGTTTACTCTGGGAATCTGAGTGACAGCTATTTTGCAGCTTGATTTGCCCTAGGAAAGAACTCAAATTTTGACAACACAGAGAATGGCCTGCTTGGTAGGGAGCTGGGGGTGGGGAGGGGGAGTGAGTAATAAGGCAGATTAAACTCACTCAACTCTCTTGGTACGAACAGAATAAGGTGGAGTCAGGACTGCTCAGAGGGCCTGAGAATGGATTTATTAGGTGGCAAAGGTGCCTCTCTGGGCTGTTCCCCTTGCCAATTCTGACTTGCACTTAGTAACAAACACTTCTGTCTCTCAAGAACTTCTCAGAAGAGAGGAGGGCTGGAGGATACAGGGAAGACTTGTGTTCCTCTGGGAGAGCCTCTGACTTCTGTGGGAAGGACAGTTAGGGCAAAAGTCTAGCCCTAGTTGTTGGCCCAGACTCCTTCTATCCAGTCATCTAGCTCCTTAAGGACACCTTGCCTGCTGTGTCCCAAAGACCCCAGTACAGGCAAACTTCTTTGCTTCTAATTCCATTTGTCAGCTCTGTTGGCAGGAAGGCCGGTACCCAGCAACAGGATTCACCCACAAAGTAACCTGGTCCTCTCCTACACATGGGGCGCTATTGTGGCTGTAGTATTTAGAGCCAAGGTCTTGGCTAAGAAATGAATGGCTCAAGCCCCAAAAAAGGCATAATTCCCTCCAAAATGGAACCAGCCCCAAGGATAAGGCAGAATCAAGTAATAATGCTTTCCTGACCTTGAAATCTGCTCAGCCTAAGTAATGCCTATGACCAACAATCGGCAGAGTCCTCTCTGAGGAGTATCAGGTGATGAGGGACAAATCTCATGTTAAAACCAATTATCTGAGAAATAGTACAGAAGAGTTGTACCTCTGACACAACCTGAGAGTCTCAGGCCTCAGGCAGGCATAACGCTGTCCTGATTGCCTCGACTTACTTCTCTTACTAAGGCAGAATACAAAGTCTAAGATTTTGTTTATAACAGGAAATTTTCCTCTTCCAGGAAAATCAAGTTTGTTGCTGTTGTTAAGTGATGTCATGTCGATTCTGACCCATAGCGACCCTGTACAGGGTTTCCGAGGCTGTAAATCTTTATGGGAGCAGAAAGCCTCATCTTTCTCCAGCGGAACAGCTGGTAGCTTTAAACTGCTGACCTTAAGGTTCGCAGCTTGATTCGTAACCACTACTCTACCAGAGCCCCTTAAGTTTGTTGTTGGGAATCAGAGAAAGCCATTGAGCTATTATTAGGCCCTTGGAAGGAAACCAGAGTCCTGGCTCACCTCTTGTGTAGACACTGCCCATTGCTACCTCCTTTTCTTGGGTCTTTTCTGGGGTGTGCTTCCTTTTATACTCTTACCCAGGGGAAATGTGCTTGTTAGTTTATCTAGTCTCTGTCTTCTGTTCTTTCAATTATTTTTTAATTCCCAAGGTAAGAGAACATTCTAAGTTCAGGTCTAGGCCCCAGCTCATTGAGGACTTCAAACTTTTAGGAACATGACCCATCTAAATCTCACATGCAGTCTTGTTCTGAGACATGGTAAGGGTAACTCAAGGAGAAAGCAATCTCTCAGAGCAGATTCACTGAATTCCTGGCAATGTCAAAGGTCCCTTTCACATTGGGATCCTTCTCTAACCATCAAGTAATAGTCTATTTCCCAAACATGAGCCATCTTCTTCCATCAGCCGTTGGGTTTGTGCGCCTCTCAGAATCATGCCCACTACCTCCGCCCAAGGTAGCTCCAAAGCCACTAAAACACTTGCAAGTCACATACCCCCTAAAGAATCCTTACACTCCCACCTAGGACACTCAGTAGATAAGAACTTGTGTGCTGACAAAGAGTCTAAAAGAAAGAACTAGATTGGGTGCTCCTTTCTTCTTATGAGATCCTAGATAATTCACCTAACCTCTTTGAGCCTTGCTGTTGTTAGGTATCAGAGAGTCAGTTATGATTCACAGCGATCCTGTTTACAACAGAACAAAACACTGCCCGGTCCCACACCATCCTCACAATTGTCACTGTGCTTGAGCCCATTGCTGCTGCCATTGTGACAATCCATAGCATTGGGGCGGGGGGGTGGGGTGGGGTGGGGTGGTTAGTCGTCCTCTTTTTTGCTGACCTTCCACTTTACCAAGTATGATGTCCTTCTCCCAGGACTGGTCCCTCCTGAAAATATGTTCAAAGTATGAGAGACAAAGCTCCCTCCCTAGCCTGGCTTCTTTTGATTTCTTTGGTTGACTTCTTCCAACATAGATTTGTTTGTTCTTCTGACAGTCCATGATATTTTCAATATTCTTCTCCAACACCATAACTCAAATGCATCTACTTTTCTTTGGTCTTCCTTATTCACTGTCCAACTTTCAAATGCACATGTTGTTGTTAGGTGCCACTGAGTCAGTACCAACTCAGCGACCCCATGCACAGCATAATGAAACACTGCCCGATCCTGGGCCAACCTCACCAATGTTGCCATGCTTGATCAATCAATGCTGCCATCTGGCCAATCCATCTCATTGGGGGGTCTTCCTCTCTTTCCCTGACCCTCCACCCTACCAAACATGATATCCTTCTCCAGTGATTGGTCCTTCTTGACAATATGTCCAAAGTATGAGAGATGAAGTTTGGCCATCTTGGCCTCCAAGGAGCACTCTGGCTGTACTTCTTCCAACACAAATCTGTTTGTTCTTTTGACAGCCCATGGCACTTTCAATATTCTCCTCCAACACCATAACTCAAATGTGTCAATTCTTCTACGGTCTTATTTACTGTCCAGCTTTCACATGCATATGAGACTACTGAAAATACCATGGTTTTGGGTCAGGTGCATTTTAGTCCTCAAATTGACATCTTGCACTTGAACACTTTATTTTTTAATATTTTATTGTGAATTATGTGATAGTTTACATGGGAGAACATTAGCTTTACATTCATTCTATTGTATATCATTTCATTGCCATGGTTACAATTCCCTCCATGCATCATCAACCAACCAAAGGGTATACCCTGCAAGCCTGGCCCCCAGTCATCATCACACAGCCCCTCTCCCTCTCTGGGTCTAAAGTCCCCAGCCGCTCCATCTCTCCACATCATCATCTCTGCCTCCATCTCTGGCATCATTGTTTCTCTGGGTAGGGTCCCGCTCTCCGCTCTTCTCCCTTGATGGTCCCAGGGACCTCTGCTCCTTTTGCTAAAAAATGTCTACACAAGCCAGGGTATTTTCAATAACCTCAAATGGATGCGAAAGCTGGACAGTGAATAAGGAAGATTGTAGAAGAACTGATGCCTTTAAGTTGTGGTGTTGGAGGAGAATACTGAAAGTGCCACGGACTGCCAAAAGAACCAATAGATCTGTTTTGGAAGAAGTGCAACCAGAGTGCTCCTTGGAGGCCAAGATGGCTAAGCTTCGTCTCTCATACTTTGGACACATTGTCCGGAGAGAACAGTCGCTGGAGAAGGATGTCATGCTGGGTAAGGTGAAGGGTCAGAGAAAAAGAGGAAGACCCCCAACGAGATGGATCAGCCAAGTGGCATCATTGATGGACTCAAGTGTGGCAGCGGTAGTGAGGTTGGCCCAGGATCAGACATTGTTTCGTTCTGCTGTGCATGGGGTCGCTATGAGTCAGTTCCGACTCAATGGCACGTGACAACAACAACAACAACCCTCCTTTTGCTACAAAATGTGTACCTTTACATTTCTAACCCTCACAATCAGTCCTGATAAAATGTAGTAAAACTACCTATCTCTATGGTTGATAAGAGAATGAAATAAGATAATCTATTAAGTTGATACAAATGCCAAAGCCAGAAAATGGTTGCTAATTTTACAATGAAAGCCTCTTTCTGGGGCAAAGGGCATTTGGAAGCTCCTACTGTCCCCCAGATAGTTCTAACTATAAGCTAGGAACTAGTGCCTCATACATCTTCACAGTCAGTGTATGACAGATTCTGACGAAGAGGAAAACAAACTTCCCTATTCAATATGAAAGCAGGCTTCTCATAAAAACCTCACTGTCCTGAATATGACTACGGTGCATCAACCAGAAGTCAGAAAATACCCAGTACCCATTGCCAAACTT